GTTCTGATGTTGATGAAGAAACTGATGAAGTAGAGGTCGAAGGAACTATTAAGAATCCAGTCGAAGTCGAAGAAGAAGTAGTTGCTTACATTCCCGACACAGTCGAAGTCGAAGAGGTTGTGGCTGAAACAAGCCAAAGACCTCAAAGAAATAGAGTTCTTTCGACAAGACTTCATGATTATGAAATTGTGGGTGATGATGAAGTTACACCAAATGAAGAATTAGTTTATTTTGTTTTACTTGCAGGTGCTGGACCAATTAACTATAACGAAGATTTGAAGACTAAATAATGGAAGCTAGCTATGGTCGAAGAGTTACATGCAATCGAAAGAAATAACACATGGGAGTTAGTCGAATTTCCAGCACATACAAAAGCTATCAAAGTAAAGTGGGTATTCAAGTTGAAATATAATGTTGATGGCTCGATAGCAAGACATAAAGCAAGATTAGTAGCTCAAGGGTTTCTTCAAACAGAAGGACTCAACTACTCTGAAGTGTTTGCTCTAGTAGCAAGATTTGAGACAGTTTGACTAGTGGTAGCATTGGCATGTAACAAAGGTTGGTCAACATTTTATTTAGATGTAAAATCAATATTTCTGAATGGTCCTTTAGACGAAGAGGTTTATGTCACACAACCTCCAGGGTTTGTGATTCAGAAGAAAGTGAGTAAAGTATATAAGTTGCACAAAGCGCTTTATGGCCTCAAACAGGCACCTAGGGTATGGAACAAGAAGATCGACTCATACTTAGTCGAATTGGAATTTGTCAAATGCAAATCTAAGTATGGTGTCTATGTTTAGGTTGTAGCATAAGATACAACAATCATTTGCTTATATGTCGATGACTTACTAGTGACTGGAAATAGCTCGGAGAACTTGTCGAAGTTCAAAAAGATGATGATGAAGGAATTTGAAATGTGTTTATATGGGAAAATTGTCTTATTTCTTAGATATGGATATTCAAATGTCGACACTCAAAAGATTCAGAATGGATGATTCAAATCCTACATCCTCACCTGTCGAACCAAATGTAAAATTGGAGAAGAATGTAGAGGAAGACAAAATGGATGTAACTTTGTTCAAGCAAATTATGGGATCTCTGAGGTATGTATGCAACAGTCGACCTGATATAGGTTTTGCTGTAGGATTAGTAAGCAGATATATGAGTGAACCAAGAGTGTCACATATGAAGACTGCAAGAAGAATCCTGAGATATCTGAAGGGTTCGATAAACTGTGAAATACTATTTCTACGAGATTCTGAAGATAAAGAAGCAATAGTTAATTGTTTTTCAGATGTTGATTGGTGTGGAGATAAGGAATATCGAAGAAGTATAACTAGATATTTCTTTCAAGTATTTGGTGCCCCAATCTCATGGTGTTCGAAGAAATAACCTGTAGTGGCATTATCCTCTCGTGAAGCCGAATATATAGCAAGGATCCTATGCTGCATGTTAGGCAATTTGGATCAGATATGTACTTGAAGAAATGAAGGTCGAAGTCAAGAAACCTCTTGTATTGCAAATCGACAACAAATCGGCCATAAATCTGGCGAAGAATCCAGTTCTGCATGAAAGAAGTAAACATATTGAAGTAAGATTTTACTTATCGACGAAAAAGGTAAATCAAGGTGAATTTGAAGTAAGACATTGCTCGAGTGAAGCAGAGTTGGCCGACATTTTCACCAAAAGATTGAAGATTGTGTGAAGCACAGTTGACCGACATTTTCACTAAAAGATTGAAGATTGACAAATTCCTGAATTTGAGAAAGAAATTAGGAATAGTTCAAATTCACTATTTTTGAAGATGCTCGACAACTTAGATTATAGGGGTGTGTTGAAATATTAAAATATTATATTAAATTTGATTTGATTTAATATTTAAATATAATCTAAATTGTGTAGACCAAAACCTAATTATGATCGTATATATTGTGTAGATCAATATTAATTCTTATTTCCTTTATTATTCATTCTTTCTCTCTTTATTAAAAGTGTCTCACGCACTTAACATTAAACTCAACTAAACTAAACTAAATTTTTAGTAGATGAGATCATATTTTCATCTCATACATTCTAACCAATAGAAAGAAAAGCTTAAGAAACAAGTTAAACAACAAAAGATAAATAAAAAACAAGAACCAAGTAAAGTGGGTAGGTGCATTTAATAAAAATTAAGGTATTGAAATTGCAAATAGAAATTCGCAGGTCTCTCCCCTGAGAGGAATCTGCTGGACAGAGAGAAGGTTTGGTTGTTCATAATGAAGAAAAATAGGTCTGCAAATTCAGGACTGAGTGTTTTTGAATTTGATGGATTAGATTAAGATTCTTCTGTTCGACATAGGACACACCCTCCCTTGCACTGAGTCACTGCTTCAATTCAATATGTATAAAAAAAAATGCAGTACTGTAATGCAATTGATAAGGGTTTTGGTTCGGTTGTCTCTTTCGATGGTTTTTAATACATTACTAAGTCAGGCCTCCACGTGCTCCTGGAAAGTCTCCCACACCCACTTCCCTGTTCCACTACCCTACACATCTCTATCACTTTCTCTATCTATTTTCAATGCTGCTTGTACTAATTACATAACAACATTTATTCACAATTTTGTATATAAATACTTATTTTTTATATATATGAATTAATGTTTAAAAAAAATAATATTGAGATTTTTTTTATATATTACAAAAATAAAAGACAAACATAACAATCTACGTTACTAATTTTTTAACATATATATAACGTTATTATATATTTCCCTTTAAACAATGTAAAAGATACATGTAAGAAAAAAATTTCAAAGATAAATAGTATAAAAATATTATTGTAAAAATACATTCTTATTTTTAATTTAAATACTTTAATTGAAATGGTTTTAAAGGTTATCTCTTTCAGTAAAATCTCCAATTCTTAGTTATATTAATGTAAATATTTAAATTTAATTTGCACATGTATATTTTCATTCTAAAAAGTTTTAAAGTACTTCTATTCCATTTTGATTTAAAAATTATTTTTTTTGTTTGAATATTTATTCAAAAGCAATTCTCTTCGTCCAAAAACAATTCTATTTTAAATTATAATTTTTAATTTTTGAATTTAGTAGAATCAATTTTATATTATATTATTTTTTATAATTCTTTTTAATTTTTCTTTTTTATTCTCTTTAATTTTTATCAATTATTTCTTTTCTTTTTTATTTGTATTATAATTTATTACTATTTTGATAATTATACCATTCAAAATCAATTTTAGAAAAATTATATCAACAACATTAATTGATAACAATCACAAACATAAATCAATTCCGTTAAATTCAATTTTATGTTAAAATTAATTATATCAAATTCAATTCTTTCAAAATCAATTATATTGACCGTCAATTTTTTTCTCTTCCATTTTTTCTATTTTTGCTGCGGTGTCTTTGATTGAGAATTCTTCGGAGACTTCTTATGTGAGTATGTATGATTTTGTTATTATCAAAAAATTCAAGGTTATTATTCGTCCTCTGAAGACTCAGAATATCATTGAGGTTATTTGGAAACCTCCGCCTATAAATTGGATAAAAATCAACTGTGACAGAGCTTTGATTTCTCCTTTCAGTCTTTCTGCTTGCGGTGGTATTCTGAGAAATAGTGAAGGTGGTTTTTTTGGGAAACATATGCTTCTTTTTTTGGGTGTGACCAACTCTCTTATGGTTGAACTTTTCGATGCTATTTTAGCAATTGAGTTTGCTTATGAAAGAAACTTGCATAATATTTGGTTAGAAATTGATTCGATGGTGGTGATCAATGCCTTTAAATCTTTGTTTAAAGTGTCGTGACAAATTATAAATAGATAAGTGAATTGTTTAAATATAATTTTTAATTAGAATTTTCTGATTTCTCATATTTTTAAGAAATAGAATAGTTGTGCAGATATCCTTATTAGTATAAGTCTTACTTTAATAAATTATATTCACTTTACTTCCATCCCTTATTTTTTAAAAACTAATTTGATTTATCTTTCTTTAAGTTTATGTCTTTCTGATAGAGTCTTGATTAATGTCCCCTGTCATTTTTGTAACACCTTTCTTTTTATATACTAAACATCGTTTAAAAAAAATCCAAACACACTCTAAGTGTTAAACTTTTTTGATAAGTTATTCAAAAGCTTCACAAGTGCACATTTGCACTACTATGACTATCTCTCTTTCTAATGATAAAATTAATATTTAATTATAATTTTTATCTATAAACTCATACAATTAGTTCATTTTTAAAATTCAAATAGATTTATCCCCCTCTTATTTTTATTGTACTAAAAATATATATATTTCTTTAATATTTTTTTTACAAAAAATACTATATGGTGATTTAACACATTGCACAATTAATACATCATTTAAAAATAAATATTTCATTAATTTAAAATTAAATTTTTTGATATTTATGAATTTTTGATAAAATAATTTAAAGTTTTAATTTATTTTAAAATAAAAAATATTAAAAATGAAATAACATTATTTGATGGATGATGGATGTCTAACTAATTAAGTTCAAAGGTTCTGCCACGTTCATCTAATTTAAAATAGAAAATGATAATTAGAGACTGAAACTTTTATCAAACAATTAAAATTATAATTAACTTTCAACTTTTCATAATTTTACCAAAAAAATTTCTTTATCTAAAAAGAAAAAACATATTTAATAGACAGGACAATGTTGACACAAATTTAAATTGGACGCAAAGTGTAATTTCATTTTAAATATCCAATTTTGATGAATAAAACATTATTTTGTTATTTTCGCTTTCCATCCTTTCAATCTTTCCTGAATTACACCATCTGACCATATGTTCCCTCCCCAACTTATTTTCTTCTTAACCCATCAAATCTGCGCCTCTTTGTCTCTCTCACTACCTTTTCACTCTCAATAACCAAATCACATTACACATACACATACACACACCAAACCAAACCTACTCAAAATCCAAACAAAGTACAAGAACACAATATCTACACTGCATGATTCATATCCACATGGAATCTATCAAGCTAGGAGTTGGTAATGGAAAAGTTAACATTATTCCTGAAGATGACTCCATTGATGGAATGCAATGCATCGATCATCCTTATAGAAACAACCCTGGTGGGATCTGTGCTTTTTGCCTTCAAGAAAAACTTGGTAAACTTGTTTCTTCTTCTTTTCCTCTTCCTATTCATGCCTCTTCCTCTTCTTCTTCTTCTCCTTCTTTCAGATCCAACGTTGCTCCTTCTTCTTCTTCCACTTCCACTACTCGTCATTGTGCTTCTTCTTCTTCCTCCGTCATTAACACCATTTCAACACCAGCAACTGCTGTAGCTTCATCTTCTTCTTTATCTCTCACTGTTTGTCCTATTAAAAATGAAAATAGTGGTAAACAGTTTCACCATGAATACTATTCTAGAAAAACTCGTATTCCTTTTCTCTTAGCCAAGAAAAAGAAGAAGAAAAACACTGTTGCTGGTTCTGGTTCTAGTTCTGGTTCTGCTACATCTAATAATATTATTCTGAAACGTAGCAAATCAACTGCAACACCAAGAAGAGGTAGTAGTAACTCTTTGGTTGACGCAGATGATGAGTATTTTAGTCCTAGAAAAAGAAACGGCTTTTGGTCATTTCTCTATCTTTCTTCAAAATCTTCAGGTAAGAATCTGAATTCAAAAAGTTTTAGAGATGGAAACAACAATGCTGCTGCTACTACTACTACTACTGCAGCAAAACTCAAGGAAAAATGTTGTTCAGGTTCTTCTTTAGGAAGAAAGAACGACATTGTTATTGTTGAAGAAGAAGAAAACATTCCTAACAGGAGCAGTAACAACAACAACAACAACACAGGTTCTTCTGAGCGCAAAGTTTCAAGATCTAGATCTGTTGGCTGTGGTAGCAGAAGTTTTTCTGGTGATTTCTTTGAAAGAATCTCAACTGGGTTTGGAGACTGTACTCTCAGAAGAGTTGAATCACAACGTGAAGGTAAATCAAAGGTAGTTTCTTCTAGTTCTACTGGTATCGCTTCTGTTAACCCTAACGAAAACCACCATCACCACCATTGCATGAAAGAGAGAGTACTTCGACGTTGTGGAGGTATATTCAGTGGATTCATGATGACTTCATCTTCATCTTCCAACTCATCTAACTCATCTTATTGGGTTTCTTCAAATTCTGCTGATGATACAGTTGTGAATGGTGGTGGAAAACAAAGTTCTGTGTCGATTTCTCAGAATAATAACCGCGGTGGAAAGAGTTGGGGTTGGGCTTTTGCTAGTCCAATGAGAGCTTTTGGTAGCAAAAGTTCTTCTAAAGAGAGTCATCATAATAAAAGAGATATAATTAGAGATGCTAATGATAAGATTAATGCTACTCCAAATTTATCTGCTATGCCATCTTTACTTGCTGCAAGAGGATGATAAGAGGTTTTAACATTTTCTTTATACACATTAATTAGTGTGAAGTTAATTACTACTAGTACTTGCTTATTGTTAATATATGTGTTAATGGTTATGATTATGAAGTTGTGTGATTATCAGATACAGAAGGTATATGAGAAGGGAAGAGATGAATGGCATAATGGTACTTTTTACTTTGAGAAGAGGGAAGGGTTGAAGAAAATCTCGATGCATTCTGAGTTATCACGTGCCTTGTCTTAATTACTATGACATTGGTTATAGTATTTTTTTTTTGTAGCTACCTTATTGTAATGCGAAAGAGATGTAATATTGGAGTTTTTAATATGCACTATTCACATGCATACACATGTTTGAGTGGTGTAAGAGACACAATAGGGGGTAGTAGTAGTAGTAGTACCTATATAGAATCACTTTTGGATATTTATTTATGTGTTTGTATGTATGAATATGATTGAGTTTATAAGCAATTTAATAAGATGGTGTTGATGATTATTAATGTTTGTTTTTGGTTAGTTTATGAAATATAGTTTTAAGCTCTTTGGAAAGATGGTGTGTTGTTTAACCTGTCAAATATAGGAATATGGTGGTGGTCCATTGAATGAGTGAATAAAGTACTAGTATATATAGAGTGTGGCATTTATTCAAGGTTCTTTGTTTGCTCCTAATCGCAGTACTTGTAATTGTTAACGCACTCTCTCTAGTCTCTTCCATTCCATGTGCATAGCCGGAGAGAGAGGTTATCGTGTGTCTCATAAATTCATAGTAGTGTAAAGATTGTGGTAAATTAATGCATTTTAATTTAGTTTGACGATATGACATTACGTATTTTTTGGTAAATATATTAATTATTATATAATTTAAAAAAGTTTTTTTTTTTTTTTATATTTTAAAAATAGGATCAGATGAAATATATAACATAAAGAATAAAATAACGAAATATGTGCAACTCCAGCCCCATATTCAGCTCAAAATATATGATATAAAGGGAAATTTGGTCGGGTAAAAATGCTGCTCCTTGCTCCTCACAACAGCCAAAAGTAAAGAGCATGAGGGGATGATAGAAAATGAGAGTTTGGTGGAGAAAGCAACATGGAAGTAAGAAATAAAATAAAAGCAAATCATACCATGTGGGCTGTCCATGCTAGTAGCAGTGTCCATGGAACACTTAGTATAAGATAAATAATTTGTTAGCACAACAATCAAGAGGAGAGGGGAATGAGTTCTTCTATTTATAAATATTTGAAGGATTTTCCTTTAAATGTGACTCTACAATACTTTTCTTCAAGTGTAAATTTTTTTATTCACATATACTTGTACCGTTCTTAACACCTTGCAACGGGACACTATTTTTTGGGCATTTCAATATAAGTAAATCAGTCCCTTTCTCAAAATTAAAGGCTCTGATATCATTTGTTGAGAGTTCACTAGGGAGCATTGATACATAATGTAGAACTACACACCTTTATGAAAAACACAAGATTTATCCATCTAAAATCTTAAGGTGATAGGTGAGTGAGTTCTCACACTTATAAATATTCAAGTCACCACATTCATATTCAATGTGTGACTATTTCTCCACTTACTCACACTTGTATTATTATTCTAACATAATTTAGAAAATTGTTTATCCCATTCTAAGTGGTTGAAAATACCCTATGGAAATTCCAAATGTCCATCTTACATCATAAATACATTTTTGAATGCATCATGAGTATCGCCAAATTATGTCTCACTCCATTTTTTTTTTCAAAATTAATACCAGAGATGCATCTCTGAAATTACTCCATGTACACTCCATCCCACTGAAACACCCCTTTTGACATAAATTGATTTGGAGATACATGTCCCTATTCATAGAGCTGTCAAAGTGGGTCAAAGCCCATGGGCCGATCCATCAAGCCCAAAAAAAATTAGGGTCTGGGTTTTATTTTTCGAGTTCATTTACTTCCGAGTCTTTTTTAGTCTGGTCTGAAAAAGTCCTGAAAAATATGGATCAGTTCGTATGGACCATGTGTAGTCCGTCGACCCGAAAAAAATTAAGATTTTTAATATAATTAAAAATTATACTTTCCTAATTCATAAAAAAAATTAAACAAAAGAAAAAAAATTAAAATTGATTATGTATGAAATTCTAGATATAGTGCCACTGAAGAAAGGTATACATAATAGATACCTTGTTTTTTGAACCCATGTAGTATAAATGGTCAATTGGTATAAATGAAAAATTTTGATGTCTAAAGTGATGAAATTCTAGATATGCTATAAATAATTTGCGTATTATGTATTTAAATTTTATTTGGTATTGTAAAGGTATAAATATCAAATAAAAGTTGTTGGTTTGACTTCATTTCAAACTAAAATGTTTCATCCTAATATAATTATGTAGATAGTATAGAAAAGACATCATAATGTATTATAATTAAAAATAAGGTTGAAATGAGGCTTAAAAAACTCTAATATATTTTTTATGGGAGGATAGAGTTAGTACAAATCAGATATATTACAATTTTATCCCATCAATCTAATTATAATTGTTATAAAATTATAATTGTTATAAAATTTTATAACAATTTGTTATTATAATTATTATAGAATTATAATTGTCATGAATATTTATAATATAAAATTTGTTGGAATAAATTATTTAATTTTGTGTGCTACATTGGATAATTTGTGATGTATTTTGGATAGTTTGAATTAAGTTAATGTGTTGTTTTACATTTTAACTGTTAACATATATAGATTATTTAGAAATCTTAATTATGGATATGAAATTTAATATATATATATATATAAAAGTATTATTTCATGCAATTGCATGGTTACTTACAAAAATAAGGATAAAATTTTAATTTTTTTAAAATGGGTTCGTTTAAGGTCGGGTAGCCCGAAGTCCATATAGTGTTGGACCTGAGTAATAAAAATAGAATCTATTTAAATATGGGTTTTTTGGACACGACCCTGAAAATCCCGAGGTCCACATGGGCCGGCCCGTTTAGGGTCGGGTAATCCTTTTTGACAGCTCTATCTATTCATACTAGACAAAATTCGAAAATGCATTTTCGTATTCACACAAGATAACTTATTACTTTGTTTTTTGAGTATACATATGAAATTGCTTATGTATTATAGTTATACTACTATATTCAATTTTATTATATAAATTAAATTATACACTTTCAGAATAATATGAAAATAACATATAAATTAATAAATCCAAAGTACCCAAAGAAGTCAAAATGAAATACAATCGATAATAATGCTCATAATACAAATATTCTATACTACTACGTATGAAGAACTCGTCCCCCTATTCCTACGCTACTTCATGCACTGGAGAGCATTATGTGCCTCCCCCACCATGACATCTAGAATGTTCCTCACCTCATAGTCATTAGAAAATAGTCCTTTGTTTATACTTGTCTGCCCTAACTCCATGTTACGATGATATTTAAGCAATACACCAACCCTAATATGCTTCTCCTTTAGTATCTCTTGATGAGCTGGCCTAGGTGGATTTTCCAGAGTATCCAATTTTATATAAGAATGTGACATTCTAAAATACCATCGAATGTAGTCGTGTGCAACACTCTAATCGCTAGGAGCTATGTTACTCTATGTCTCCTTTGATACCAAATGATTAAGGTAATCATCATATATGACATCGATATCTCTACATGCCAAAGAGGCAACAACGACAAGTCGGACGGGCCTTCTTCAAACCCCTCGGGTGCGCGTTATGTCTCGGGTGCTTGCGGAGCCTCGGGTGATTGTAGAGCCTCAGACGCCTGAGTAGGTGACACATATCTCGAACGGGAAGACGAACGTGGGATACGCCTAAGTCCAAGAAGTTGAAGCATCTGACTTAACCAGGATAGAAACAACATGTACCTACAAGGCTCAAGCTCTTTCCCTCCGAACTGATGCATATTGCACAATTCTATCGTGCATCAAATTATCTTGCTTATCAACCATAATGTCTATAAGTAAATCACATAAGCATTATACATATGAAACACAATGAGGTCAAGCCAAATAATGCAGACAAATAAATTTCAGAGATGCATCTCCAGATTCTAGAAATCAAAACGTTGAAAAATTACAGAGATACATCTCCGTAAAGTTCTGCAACTCAGATGAACAACAATGGCGGAAATATAGTCCATTCCAACATTCAAAATAATCCATTAACAATTTAAACTATTTATCAAACACAATTCTCATTTAAATAACATATATAAACTACCTATTAAATAATTTAATGCTCAATTTCTATAAATGTATACAGAAAAAAAGTATAGAGAAATAAAAATCTTACTATATGTGAGTTTAGTTGGATGTTGAGTTAACTATTTGATTACTTGGATGTTGATGGCAGAAATTTTGAAATGAGTCGAATGAGTTTGAGATAGTTTGAGACTTGAGAGATTTTGAAACTTTTAAGAGATGTATTTTGAGAGAGTATTTTAAGAAGTGAGGAAGGAGAACAGTTTGACACGTTTTTTATTAAAACAACGTTCGAAAATGCATCTTCGTAAGTTACATGAAAATGCATTTATGTAATTATTTTTGACATAATCTTAAGGCATGATTCAAGAACTATATGTACGAATTGGAGTGCATTCGAAGATACATTTTTAAAATTTAGAGATAGTTTTGATTTCTTACTAGAGTGGAGAAACAATATTTAAGGTGTCTTATGCAATTCACATAATTTATATGATTAATATTTCAAGATGTTAAATAGAGATATGACCCATTATTGCTCCAAACACTCTTAGTTGATCTTGTGGTGAAGTTTGTCGCTTGAAAATGTGTTTCTCTCATTTTCTTTAAACGAGACCTTCACAAATAAATAATGAAATTGTTTTTTCTATATTTTTAATTTTAGTCGGATCGCTTCACAAATAAATAGTAGAATTAATTCTCTTATTTTAATCGGTTGCAAATTAGCATATTAAACTTTTAAAAAAAACTTTTAAACAAAACGTCTCCATTAA